CATTATGGACTTTAAGTAGTCAGATGAGCAGCTTACTTCTGCTTGAAGTAATGCAGCAGGTTGCACTTAGGTACCATCAGGGTGGCCAGGTGATGCTAGGCTTAGTTGTTAAGGATATTTATGTAATTGCAAATGTATTTTCAAAATCTTAATAAAGCACTAGCATGACTGCTTAAGTTTAAAAAAAAAAAATAATAATAATAATAAAATTTATTTTATAACAATAATATTACAAAATTTTTTATATAAAATGCAAAGTTAGTAACAAAAAATTATAATGCATTAAATAAAATAAATTTTTTAATTAATATTTAAAAAATAATTTATTTAACTATTATATTATTAACTATATTAAAATAAATTATTAAAACTAATTTAGTTATATTTTAATAATTAAATAAAATATTAACTATACTTTTTGTGTATTTTATATAATAATTATAATGAGTTTATTAAAAAATTTAGACTTTATTTTTTTAATATATTTTTTATATACTAACTTTAAATAGTTTTGTCTTAAAACATTAATCAAAAAAATAAAATCACTATTATGAAAATTATTTTTAAGTTATAAACATAACTTATTATATTTTTTAAAAAAAGGTTAATACTTACAACAAAAAAAATTTTTTTTACTACACTTATTAACATGTGTATTGTTGATTATTTCATATTGTTTTTTTGTAACCTTATTAATAATATGTTTCTTACTATTAATATAAGTTGGAATTATTGATCTTACTTTATAATTAACAACAAATTACAAAACTAAAACATCAAGATTCTATGATTAGCAAAAAAATATTTGTAAACCTTATTTGTATAAAAAATTACAGAAACTTAACATGGCATTTGAACTAAAGAAAAAAATATATATATAAAATATTAAAATAATATATTATCAAAAATTAAATATATAATCAAATTTACATTTTTATCAACTGCAAGTCAATTAAAAAATTACTACCAAACATTATAAATTTAAAATTCTGTTTTTACAGAATTTATTAAGCATTTAGCTTAACCAGGTTGGTTTAAAAAGAGTAACATTATTTAAGAATTACTATCAAAATTCAATAAGAAAATTATTAGTAAGAACTTTTACCGTTATTATTGCAACATTTGCTAACACTATAAAAACTTACTATAGCAAATTATTATGTCTATTAGACTTTGAAAGCAGTGCATTATTATGCTAATAAAATTCAGCAACGATGAGACAGCAATGAACCCTGATAGCGGTGAAATTTACAATGGCAAGGCTTAACAGTAATGAGCCCTGATAGCAGCAAGACTTGACAACAACGAACCTGATTCTGATAGTAATAAAATGTAACAATGGCAATAAACTTGATAACAACAACTTTGATAATGGCAAATTTTGGTGACAAAAAGATTACAATAACAAAACTTAATGAAACTTTGATAGTAAAAAAAAAATTAAGGCCTTAGTAAGTTTTGATCAACCAAGAGTTTTACCATGCTAAAACTCTAACTACTTTACTTTTTCTTACACTAAATATTTAAACACTCCAAACTTCGACCTAAACCTCAACCTTTAACCCAACGAATCTTTTTACGCTGAAGATTAACTGTACTGAAACTTTGAATTTTTTTTATACTATATATATTTGATTAGCCAATCAGATCTAACAAATGATCCTGACAATATTTATATTGCTATTTAATTGGTTAATTATCACGTGAAACAAAAAAAAGGTAAAATTGTTTTATAATGTGATTTCTAATAAAAATTGCGATTAATTGTGATCTAATGTTTTTGAAATTTTTTGGTGTCTTTGCACTGGGGTACTTGTTCTTAAAGTGTCCCAAAAATTGTAATAAACAATAGTAAAATAGTTACAATTAATTGCAATTTTGCTATGATATAAGTTTAGCTGAATTTTGAAAATGAGTGCTGTCAAGGAAAAATCTGTCATCGGGCTTTCAATTATACTTTGTACCGCACATAGTCACTAATAATCAAACAGTGCAAAATAAAATTGAAAACCCGATGACAGGTTTACCCTTGATGGCACTCGAATAAAAAAAATTAATCACACCCATATAAAATTGATAAGGCTAACCCAATTAAAAATATTAAGCTCACCTGTGCTATAGATAAATGTAGCAGAGTTTACTGTAGAAGCATCATTTTTTCGATTTGATAAAACAATTTAGAATGTTCTTGCCTTATTGCTAATCATCTAAATGATTCACTGAATTCGTATAACTCGATCCTTTTTTTGGGTTATCAGCTGTAAACCGGGAGGCAATCATTGGAACCAATGTAAATTGTGCAGGTTGTTAAAAAAAAAAAAATGATCGCTTGATAGTTTTGATTTTTTTTATTCAATTAAGTATGCTATTTTTTTCAAATTACATCTAAGATCAGTAAATATACTTTTACATATGTTTTATTACAATTTTTGCAAATTACGGAAAAATTGGTTAATTGCAGCTGCACCACAGATAAAATAATTACAGTATCATTAATACATGTTATACTTTCTAGCACTAATACTAGTGTAGTTTTCCGAGTTGGTTCAATCGATTAGTTGCCAACTATAGTTCAACTTCCTATCATATGACTAAATTTGTTGACTGGCTAATCAAACTAATTTTCAAAATCGATTAGTTGGAAAGTTGTCAACTAGTTGGTTTTTCAACTAATGATTTGGATCACTACACTAGTGTTTAACCGATTACTTAGGATGATTACTAATATTGAATTTGATTTCATTTTTTGTTTATACGATATTAAATGAAATTCAACCGAGTTTCTAATTCAGCTAGATGTTTAATAAATATCTTGGTGTATATTAAGGAATATAAAAAATAAATTCCAAAGTAGAATGGATATTCATTCATATTCATTCCCTAATGCTAATAGCATATAGAATTTATATTGTCAAAGCTCTCCTGTTATTATGATGATAAGTCATTTGACAAACTGGGGCTTAAAAAGAATGTTCAAATATTGATCATGTATGGCTGAGTCATGTGATTTCATGCAAATTCGATTATAAATCTAGATTAAAAGACGACGCGAAAACGACACGCTTGTGCATCAATTATACAATGAACCAACACAACGCGAATACTATACCGAAACAAGAAAAAACCTCGCCAGTTAAAAAAACGCAAAAGACACTCTTTTCGTTCTTGGGCTTACCTACTCCAAGTACCAGTAGGCTAGACGAAAATGACATTGAAAAGGATGAAATACAAGAGCAAGAGCCTCCAACACCAGAAACACCCGCTACTGACAAATCAAATGTTGCTCTAGCTAGTAGTACAGATATAGACGGGTCGAGTTCTGGAAAAGAGACTGAGGAGCCAACTTTGGGCAAAAGAATCCTAAGAGTATAATTCAAGTCTCGTATATTAATTATGTACGAATGGCCGTAGAATAAAAGCATTGATGGTTTTCTTTGTTTGCAGGGAAGGGTTAAACGCAAAATTTGCGTTTCATCAGATGAAGAGAGTGAGGACAATGCTGGCTCTCCACGTATTTATCCTAAAAATTTCACATTTTATAGATAATTTATTGTTAATATCATAAGAATCAATCATTTTATTTATTTATTACATAAATTTTTTATAGAAAAACCCTCTGTGCAAAAGACAATTCAAGAAACTTCATCGCGTCGAAAAAAAACGAAGAAAACTGGTGATGATGAATATAATGATAGCAATTGCGATGAAGATAGTGACGATGCTGGTATGGTTTTTTTAAAAATTAAAAGTCGTGGTGCGATTCAAACGTATATCATTTGATCATTTTTTTCAACCTACAGCTATTAGTGACATAGTCGAGGGGAGCGATTATGAAGATAAAAAATTTCGTTCTAAAAATAATTCCAAGAAAACTACGAATAAAGCACCTGGAGATTTAAGCTCTATACAGAATAAATTAAAGGCTTGTTTATAAATTTGTTTATTTTTGATTTTTTTTTTTTTTTAAAAAAAAATTCAAATTAAAAATTTACTTAAAATTAAAATTCATATTAGGCGTTTGCCTCAAATTCCGCTACGCGTCGCGGATCATCGTTTTCTTTGAAAATTCACATGACGGATTCCGAGAAAAAAAAGGTAATATCTAATTTTTTATATATTGTTCTAAATTAAATTTATAACTATTTCATCAAATAATGATATTTTTGAAATATTAAGCAACGTGCGTCAGATTTTAAGGCTAAGAACGAAGAGCGTTACAGTTGGTTACAAGAAGTTAAGGATGCTGATGGAAATCTAGAAGGTGATAGCTTTAATTTCCTGTCATAGTTTATCTTAATATGATGATTTACACCAAAAATTTTATACAGGATCACCTGACTATGATTCCCGAACATTATTAATACCTCGTTCTGCTTGGAATAAGTTTACACCTTTTGAAAAACAATTCTGGGAAATAAAATCGAAACATTGGGATACTGTAGGTTTTACAAGTAGCGTAAAAGATTTATCATTTGTATTTAGAAATGCTATTGTATTAATTTAATTTTGAAATAATATTAGGTGGTCTTTTTCAAGAAAGGAAAATTTTATGGTATGCACATGGATGTCTCTAAGTGGTGGTGTAAAATTATTCTGATGTATTTATTTACGCACATTATTGTTCTTATATAATTTGCAGAATTATATGAACGTGATGCGGATATTGGACATAAGGAATTTGATCTTAAGCTTACTGACCGCGTAAACATGCGCATGGTTGGTGTGCCTGAAATGGCTTTTGAATCTTGGGCTGCACAGTTCATTGCCAAAGGGTAAATATTATAATAATATTGAATTTGTACAAAATCATTAAGATTCATTATTGAAGTATGATGGATACTATATATAAGACACAAAGTAGCGAAAGTAGATCAGATGGAGACTGCAATCGGAAAAGAAATGCGCGAAAAGGCTAGCAATATAAAGGTATAACCATTTATTTAATTCATTTTGTTCATTTTTAAATGCTAATTTACAATGTCTTTATGCTCGAATTCTTGTATGCAACATTGTAGGAAGAAAAGATTATTCGACGTGAGCTAACATCTATTCTTACTGCTGGTACGATTGTCGAAGGTGGATTATTGACCAATGAGATGGCAACATATTGCATGTCGATTAAGGTTTATACATATAAATTAGTCATAATTTAATGTCTTATCACTATCGGAGGATACTTATCATATAATAATTCGTATATAGGAATCATGTCCCGCGGAAAATGCTCTGCCTGCTTTTGGGATTTGTTTTGTTGACACTGCAACAGCAGAGTTTCACCTCGCGTCGTTTGTCGATGATGTTGATAGAACTCAGTTTGAAACGTTGATCATGCAAATAAAACCAAAAGAAATAGTGTATGAGAAGGTATATATTATCGATGCTATTAATAGGTTTCTTTTTCTTGGTGTTAAAAACTTGTATGTATAAATACAAATAAATAGGGGATGCTTAGTCAATTATCAAAACGTATCTTAAAAGATTGTACCAACCGTCCAATATGGACTGCTCTCAATCCTGAGAATGAATTCTGGGATGCTAATACAACGAGGAGTCAACTTAGGATGTCTCGATACTTTTCTAGTAATCAGAATGCATCAATTGCACAAGATGATGTAGATAATGATGGTGACATAACAATGTTTGATAATGATGAAGGAAACAAAATCGGTGAGTTTATACAATTTATGTATAGATATTTTATTCTAATTTATTCTAGGTAATTAAACATTGACAATAAACTCTACAGAAACATGGCCAAGTGCAATTCAAGAAGCTTTAAAAGATCCTCTGATGTTATCAGCTTTAGGAGGTATGCGTTATTTCGTGTTATCGGTTATGATTTGATTGCTCTAAAATTTTAATTTAAAATTTTATTATAAAGGACTTATTTGGTATCTGCGTTCGGTAAGTTATTAATGGTCTATTTCGATCATTCAAGAACAAAAGCATTTAATATTCATTGTGTTAAAAATAGTTGAAACTTGATGTCGAACTTGTTTCTCTCCGAAATTTCCATATCTACGATCCAATATGCCATAACACCTCACTTGTTCTCGATGGACAAACATTGGCAAATCTTGAAGTGTTTGAGAATAGCTTAGACGGAAGTACCCGAGGAACAGTATTCCAGTTATTAAACCGCTGTATTACACCCTTTGGTAAAAGAACAATCCACTCAAATAAATTATAAACCTAAAGTGATTTATTTATTTCTAAACTGGATTTTGATTTTCGGTGATCTAATAGGAAAGCGTGCTTTCAAACAATGGTTATGCCATCCGCTTCGTGACATTGCTGCTATTGACGCACGTTTAGATGCGATCGATGAATTAAACACCATTCCTGATTTTCAAGATATATTTACTGAGAATTTTTCTCATTTTCCTGATCTTGAACGCCTGATAAGCAGAATTCATGCTGGAACATGTAAAGTGAAAGATTTTTTGCATGTATTAGTTACTTTCGAAAAATTGTTGGTAGGTATTTATAAAACAGTATTCAAATTATATAAATCATGACAACTTATTATAACAAACTATTATTATTTATATAGAATACAATAGAGACGTTGAGTAGTTTTGTGAATGGTTTCAAATCGACTAGATTGAGACGGCTATTCGAATCTTTTCCCGACTTGAAGCCAATGCTTACACATTTCAAAGGAGCTTTTAACCACGAAAAGGCGTATAAAGAAGGTAATATGCCTTTTTATGCAATATAAATTATCATTTATATTAGTGCTAACACATCTACATCGTATTTATCAGGCAACTTATTGCCATTTCCTGGCATTGAAAGTGATTATGACGAAATTAATGATAGAATGGCGGAAATTAATAAAAAGCTTGACGATCATTTAGAAGATGCAAAGGTGTTATTAAAGTAAGGAGTAAGAATATTTATTTACTGTAATGTTATTTGAATTGAATACAAAGCCTGTTTTGTTCGTGCAGAACCAAATCAATTGTTTATAAAGATATTGGGAAGGAAATTTTCCAGATTGAAGTTTCGAATACAGTCAAGGTACCGGATAATTGGCAGAAATTATCACGCACACAGGTGAATACAAGGAAATGATATTAGAATGTCATAGTGCTATTTTTAAATTGCTATGTTTTTTTTTTTGCTTTTTTATACTCCTTAGAAAGTCAATCGTTATTGGAATCCAACTCTTCAAAAACTTGTTAGAGATTTTCAAGAAGCAAAAGAAACACAATCTAGTATATTGAAATCTTTACAAAGTCGTTTTTATCAGAAATTTGATGCACATTATCGTAACTGGCTTCTTGCCGTCAAAATTGTTGGTGAAGTCGATTGTCTGCTTAGTTTGGCTAAAAGTTCAATGGCATTGGGGGGTAAGTTAATATGTTTGAGATCGATTCGCAATTGAGTGTGAATCATCACTTAACACTAAATTATTATTCAATCTATTCTAGAACCTCGTTGTCGTCCCCAATTTGTATTGCAGGAACAAAGCCTTTTAGAATTTGAAGAGCTTAGACATCCCTGCTTTATTTCAGGGTATGCATTTTATTGTTTAAAAAATTGTTCGACTAATTGTTTACTATTATAAATCTTAATGATTTTTTTTCCTCCTAATCAAGTGCGACTTTCGATTTCATACCTAATGATACATTCCTTGGTGGTGATCAACCAAATATGATATTGCTTACGGGTCCAAATATGGGCGGTAAATCCACGCTTTTGCGCCAGGTTAGAACTTTCCCAGGAATATTTATTCAATTAAAAATTTAGTACAAATTCTGACGCATATAGTTTTAACCAATAGAATTGTGTGGCAATTATTATGGCACAGCTTGGTTGCTATGTTCCTGCAAGACGTTGTCGTATGACGCCATTTGATAGAATATATACACGCATTGGTGCTAATGATAACATCCTTGCAGGTCAAAGTACTTTTATGGTAGAGTTAAGCGAAACCTCGAAAATTATTCACGAAGCAACACCGAGGTCTATGGTTATTCTTGATGAACTAGGACGCGGAACATCTACCTTTGATGGTTACGCTATTGCTTATTCGGTTTTATATTATTTGGCGACGCATATTGGTTGTCTTGGTTTATTTTCTACACATTATGGCATGCTTACACAAGAATTTGCCAACAATCCCAATATTGCACTTAAACATATGAGTTGCCATGTTGATCAAGATCTTAGGGAAGTGACCTTCTTGTACAAGTTAGTTTCTGGTGTATGTCCTAAATCGTATGGGATGAATGTGGCCAGCATGGCCGGCGTTCCTAGAGAGATTGTTGATCGTGCTGAGATAGTTGCTGCTAAATTTGAGCAGACTTCAAAATTGCAAGATATCTTAACTGCAAATAGTTCAAATGTACCAATCACGACTTTATGTGATTTCGTGTATCTTTTAAAGGCTGCGGCTAGGAATGATGGGTCATCTAAAGAAATGGATGATGGTGCCCTAGATAATCAGGCAGATCATAAAAAAGAAGAGAGGCATAATAGAGCGCTGAAGACAATTATCCGTGGAATTAAAACAATGTAAAGCTTATTACGACGGTATTAATATTGTTATAGTTTTCCATATATTTAGCACTTTATTTCTAGTTGCCTCTGTATACTTTATAAATTTTACCAATTTGTTAGTAATAATTATATGGTACTGTTCGAAGTTTGGTGATTATTTTATTATAATAATAATAAATTTATAAAAAAGCATTACAATCTAATTATTTTCATTAGTTATCAAATGTTATCATTTTCTATAATTTCTTTTTTTTGACTAGTCGTACGTATGCAATTTTGTGTTTTAGTAAAGGGACTAGCTTTTAGGTCCGGGCATTGCCTCGGAAGCGAGGTTTTAATTTTTATAATATTAATTAATTAATGTTTTCTATATTTTATGGCTCAGGTATTGTTTCGAGGCAAGGGTTTAAAATTTTTATAATTTATTGTAGTTTTTTAGCTTTTAGTTTTTTTTTTAATTTTTTAGTTCTTAGGTCTAGACATTGCCTTGAGGATGGTTTTAATTATGATTCACGAAAAACGAGAATATTAGTCGGAAGAATTTTACAGAAATCGTGATTCCTATAGTTTTATCAAATTTTTAAATTTAGCTTGCCATTTAACTAATTTTATTAGTTTAATTATTAATGAATTACAAAACTTGCTTTAAATTTTTATTAGGAGTTTATAAGATTTTATTTCTCTTTGATAGTTATGCTATTAATTTATTAAACTATTTAAAATAATATGTAATTATAGAGTATCATTTAATACACAAGTTTGATATCATTCAGTTATCTTTAAGATACTTAAATATAATTTGTCTTATTAGTTTTAAAACTAAAATAATAATTTATTTGATCTTACAATAGAGTATTATCAATTTGATAATATCTTTTTATAAAGAAAAAAAAAAAGCAATTTAGTATTAAAATAACAAAAATAAACTTACAATTAATATTAATTTTATAAAATAAAAATTTTATTTTATAATACTAAAATATTAAATAAATAATTGTATAAAGATAGAAGATTTGGATTCCATAGCTTAGCAGGTAAGTTTTCAAACCTTTCACAGACAAGGTTAATGGTTCAAGACAGACTAAAGCCAATTTTGTCTTAGTAATCTATTGAAGCTATTAATCAAATGTAAAGCCCTGTAGGAAAGTTCAAATGCAGGTACATATTTGATAAAGAAATTTTTGAAAAGAGACCTAATTATGGAGTGCAAATATTATGCATAACAAGTGGTTGTTACAAAAGTTATAATTATAAAAAGATTGTATATATAAGTTCTTCAAGCTAGAATAATATTAACATTCTTATATCTTCTAATATAAACAGTACTAATATCTCTGCATCCAACTTGTGAAATATTTGCTTGGAAGAATAATTAACAGATTGTGTGAATAAGATCTAATTGAGATTCAAGAAGAAGATTTGATTAGAAGAATAGTCTATAAATAATCAAAACTGAAATAGTGAAAAAAATGGTAAATATAAGAATGAACTGTGATAAAGAATTGGTCTAATCAAAAATTAGAAATATTTCTGACATAGTTAAATAATTTAAATATAAAAGAGAAAATCTTAAAAGAAAGCATATAATTATGTTATTTTTTTATAGTTGCAGAAGTTTATAAGATATAAATAATTATCACAGCTGATGTTGAAAATTAAGAACCTCTGATTTAAAAACTTCCTTGTATAGTATAAAGGTATCAAATTAGGTTCTGATCATATTTAAATATAAGTTTATGATGAACAAGACTGAGATTAATCAACCAATATGAGATAAGATCTGCAAAGTAGTATACTATTATAGGAGTTAGTATAATTCTCTGAATATAATTAGAATTGTTCTATAGATATTATTAAATAAGTTAAGAGTTTGTAATATATAATATTATGATATCACTAAGGTCAGAAAAACTCCCTAGATATAACTAGAATTGTTCTGTTTGTAAGTACAACAAGTTCCAGTTCCTACTATAGAAGAGAGCACCTTGTTAGAGATTAAATACAGTACTAAGTTACTGTATAATGTTAAGACCTAAGACATTTGCAAGAATGATGATTATAAAGAACTAAGATATATAGTACAAGAATAAGATATAAAAGAAGCAAAAAAGAATAAAAGAATTTTATAATAAAACCAAAGTTCAGAAAAAGAAAAAAAGAAAAATAAAGAAGAGGTAATAATATTGAAAAAAATATAACAGAAGTACTGTTAGAACAAATATCTAGATGTCAGATAATAGATTATATAATAATAAAATACTAGTAATTATAAAAATTTCTGTTTATAATATTTTAGATTAAATAAAAGAAGAAAGAACAGATATGATAAAATAAATGTTTATGTAAATAAACATATTACAAAGATTGAAAAAGTTTTTATAAAAAACAATAGTTGAATTAAAGTATTAGTACAGTCATCCTCCCATATAATCACACAGTTGGGCACATAGTAATTTTTTTAAAAAAAGTGCTTATAAAGGAGTTGTGCTTATATGGAGAGTTATTTCTTATAAGTTAAATCATAACTTAGCCTAAACATAAATGTGATTACATATGATGTGATTATATAGGAGGTGACTATATGGAGGGACGACTGTATAATAAATATTAAATAAACTGAAAGAATTCTAGAAGAAGAAAAACTCAAGAAAGAGAAAAGTCAAGAGACAGAAAACAAAAAAGATATAAGTTGAATAATAAAAAATAATTAAATAACAAAAAACAAAAATTATTAAAAGTCAGAAACAAAAAATATAAAACACCAAATAGAAGATTCATAGAAATAAAATGTGATTCTTAGTTACAAAATGTAAAAAAATAGTTAAAAGACAGAAATATTAATATAGAAAAAGAATCTCTTAATTCCTTATTCTACTTACCAATTATCAAATTTATATCTATTTGGACAGCTTATCTACTATTCAAACACTCTCAAACATATTACTCTACTATTACAATTCACAAACTAAATAAAATAATTAAGATATTTTATATATACTTAATTATTTAATAAAACTCAAAAACATCAATTATACTATACACAAAGTTAAATTATATTCGAAAAATATTTTATACAATATAACTAATTCTCTAACCAAACAAAATGCTAACAAAACTAAATTAAAATTCAATTTTGACTATTTCTATCTACCTATTTATTTTTCTTAAAAAGGAATTTTAATTATATACAAACTATATAAATTCTGTAAGAACTTAATCTCAATTCAAATATTTAATAAACTCCTTTAACTTAAATCATTACAAAACCTTCTAACTATAAATATTTTATTATTAACTAAAATCATCAACTTCCAAAACTCTAATCTTAAACTATACTCTATTAGAAACAAAATACTTCTCAATAATTTATCAACAATGTCAAATCTAAATATCTGTTATTCTCTTCTTTATCTAATTCCAAATTGCTTATATTGTAATTAATATGAAAGCATCAAACACTTATTTTAATACTTACTTTATTCTTATAACCTACAAAACACTCTTACTAATAAAATCTCAAATATTTTAAACTTTTTAAACATTACAGAAACCTTATTAAATACAATAATACAAATTTTTATTATACAAAATACTTCTCTTAACTTCAATATATATGTATAATACAATATTATTATTCATTTAGAATACAATAACCCTTAACCAATACAACTAACTTCAACCTATTTTAAAAAAACTAACTAATAATTTTTTTATTTCGTTATCTAACTTATTACTTACCTGATTCAACTTTACTATCTGACAAACTTGTAATACTAAACAACATGAATAAGAATTATTATAAAGAATTACATTCTCTACTAAAAAGAAAAACAATATCAGATTATCTACTCTTCAATTTACAAATTCTAACAATATTATTTTCACTTTCAATACTAATATAGATCTCTTTATTTCTAAAACTCTTACTCAAAACTTCACTATACATATCTGCTTTTACTAATTAAATAATCTTAAGAGTTCTTTTTATCCTTTTTGTAATTAAGTTTATATTAATTAATTCAACTAATAACAGAAAACTAAAGGATAATATCACACTAGATGCCATAATATATAACAACAATAGTGTAGCTTAGAAATAATATTTTAGTTATATATCTATATTCAATTGATATATAAATGTATTTTTATTTTTTTTACTTGATATTATATAAATAAATAAAAAATATATATATATATATAAAAAGAAAAAAAATTGCAAGAAAAAAAATTAAGTCAAATATACAAAATCAAGTAAGAATACTATCAATAGAAATTATTTTGTACCAAATACTGAAAAGACTAAATAAGATAAAAAAAATGTAGCTAGAGACAAAAAAAGACCTAGTTGACTACTTCTAAGAATACCTTAGTTGAATTCTAAAATACAGACAAGGAGATTGGTGTTTTTCTGTGAAATAAAAAAAGAATTTTTAAAAAAAGAGAAAAAGAAATATTCTTTAATTTAGAAAAAAAAAAGATCAAAAAAGAAACAAAAAAATTAAAAATATAAAAATAAAACAAAAAAAATTAAAAGAAAAATAAAAAGAAGGAAAAAAAGAAATTAAAATAGCATATTACAATATCAATAAATTAAAGATTAAAAATTGAAAACTTAAAAACTTGTTTGACTGAACAAAAGAAAAAGAAATTGTAATATTAGAAATTACAAAAACAAATATTATAAAAAAAGAAAAAAGGTTTTTAATATATACTATAAACAAAAAATATATAAAGATCAAAAAAAAAATAACATCTCTTTCTACAGATTATTTATATCAAATTTTTGCTAAAAATTATTTCTAAGTATTTTACTAAATAAACCTTACTTGTACTCTTAAGTAAAGTTGTTCAGCACACTTTTCTACTTTTAAATAGCCAAGTTTAAAGCTCCAATAATACATAGCTATTAAGAAATTTTATAAAAATAATTTTTAGTTTTTGCTTATTTGCTTAAAATTTTACTAATTATTTTTTATTTTTTTTTTTTTTGTTATGCCAAAGTAAAAACTTTATTAAGTA